TACTGAATAGCTCTATCAGTTCTAAACTGTTCTTCCTAGAGGTCCAGTAAGGATCATCTCTTATTGATCAGTGTTACTACAGGAGGAAACCTAAACTAAACTAACTTTATTTATACTGGATAGCTCTATCAGTTCTAAACTGTTCTCCCTAGAGGTCTAGTAAGGATCATCTCTTATTGATCCAGTGTTACTACAGGAGGAAACCTAAACTAAACGTACTTTATTTATACTGGATAGCTCTATCAGTTCTAAACTGTTCTTCCTAGAGGTCCAGTAAGGATCATCTCTTATTGATCCAGTGTTACTACAGGAGGAAACCTAAACTAAACTAGCTTTATTTATACTGGATAGCTCTATCAGTTCTAAACTGTTCTTCCTAGAGGTCCAGTAAGGATCATCTCTTATTGATCCAGTGTTACTACAGGGGGAAACCTAAACTAAACTAACTTTATTTATACTGGATAGCTCTATCAGTTCTAAACTGTTCTTCCTAGAGGTCTAGTAAGGATCATCTCTTATTGATCCAGTGTTACTACAGGAAGAAACCTAAACTAACTTTATTTATGCTGGATAGCTCTATCAGTTCTAAACTGTTCTTCCTGGAGGTCCAGTAAGAGACATCTCTTATTGATCCAGTGTTACTACAGGAAGAAACCTAAACTAAACTAACTTTATTTATGCTGGATAGCTCTATCAGTTCTAAACTGTTCTTCCTGGAGGTCCAGTAAGAGACATCTCTTATTGATCCAGTGTTACTACAGGAAGAAACCTAAACTAAACTAACTTTATTTATGCTGGATAGCTCTATCAGTTCTAAACTGTTCTTCCTGGAGGTCCAGTAAGAGACATCTCTTATTGATCCAGTGTTACTACAGGAAGAAACCTAAACTAAACTAACTTTATTTATACTGGACATAGCTTTATTTAAACTGTTTTCCCTAGAGGTCCATCATTGGTACAGTGTTACTGAGTATCTGGAGAAAACTTGCAGTGTTTTTAGTGTCAAACTGAAAGCACTCATCTCATTTCCAACTGAGGCAAAAATTACAATCAGCCAACTATATGCCCTACTCCAGTCATCAAGCCCTGAAGAATTGAAGGCACAAACTGTAACTGTTATTCCACCAACACCCCATTACTATTACCATCATCTCGATAATTGCCACCTGGATTTCCACCTAGCTTCTTCATTTACCAAGGTCCCAGACTTACTTTATCTCTGGCATCATAATGGAACTTGTCTCTGCTGTAATTTTGGCCTCCACCGCGCCCACTATAACTGTCACGTCCACGACCACCGCCATAACCATCACGACCACTACCACCATAACCATCACGACCGCCATCACGACCACCATAACCAGTATCATGATAACCACCACCCCTGTTGTCATGGTAGTTTTTCTGATTTCTGTAACCTTGATTGTAACTATCATAACTTCTGTCATCATAACCCGTGTTTTGGTTGTAGCGACCGCCACCAGAATTTCTACCACTACTGTTACCATAGCGACCACCGCTGTTAAAGTCACGGGAATCTTGTTGGTAGTTTCTTTGGTTTCGGCTTCCTTGGTTGTAAGAACCCTTGTTTTCTGCAAAAGGTGTCTGAACTATAGATCTGACAAAATTAAGTGTTTTTCATTCTTTAAACATGCTTAAATTATACTGAATAGATTTCAGTCGATTTTGAGTAATTCCTCATTTCCTCAGTAGTCGAGTGAATATTTAACAATTATTTGCCGAAGGCGAGGTGATTATCGGTGAATAAAAACCGAGACGAAGTCAAGGTTTTTATTCACGATAATCACCGAGCCTGAGGTGAATAATTGTTTTAGTATAATTTCATAGGTGATTATTTAGAAAAAAATAAAAAATAGACATTTCTTCGTCATTTAATTTGACAAAACGGCTTCGGCTGCCATTTTGAAAATCGCTTAGGTGATTATCGCGTAATAATCACCTCAACGGCAGCCAATCAGCGTGGAGAATTTTCAATAATCACCTATGTAATTATACTAATAGTCAATAGTCACGGGGGATTAATTATTAACCACGCCGTATTTAATATCCGTTAAATATTTTAACTAACCTGGCCTCCGATGCTCGTTGAAACATCGATCACCAAACTTACATGCCCCCTTTAAAAAATACTGACATATAACCATGATCTATTTGTCTTCCCTTACAGAATATACAAACTTTAAACACAGCAGCTATATTTACGTTTGGTCAAATTGACGTTTGGTAGAATCGTAGCTCAATTTTTTAACGTCCAGCAAGCCACAGTCCAAAACAAAGAACGACTTCTCTTTTCGGGCATAAGATAATGTAATCAGATCGCACAGTCGTCTATTATTACAAAAAACTCGCTTGAAAAATGGATCTTGTTTACATTTTCACGCTTATTTTCGGCGACCATATTGGAAAGTCATAATAATAAATTATTACACGAAGTTTCGAGCAAGCGCCGTTTATAGTACCGAGGGCTCAATGCCGTCTGTTTGTCTGTCAATTTCGCATAAATTATAATGTCAGCCAGGAAGTCACATGTGTCCGATAACGCGATTTGATTGGCTTTAGCCCCTGCGAGAATGTTTTTACACGAACTAATATGGTGGAAGACGATTAGTTCGAAAAATGAAGGCTTTTACAAATGGCTAAGTTTAATGCTCGTTTTCGTCAAGAAGAAATGATTTTGATGGTCTGTTAAAGCACAACACACAAAATATGTCTACTAAAGGGTAAGGCTGATGATTAATTAGGGCAATCGGGCATAAAGGTATATGATTTCGGCGCGCTTAATTTTGAGACGTTTTGGAATTTATATTCGCCTAATAAAACCCCGGTGTTTTTTTGTGTTGGGACGTCTGGTTTTTTATCTTTGTTGTTTTTGAAACTTGACAGGAACGAGCTACGAAAGCTTAGCGAAGAAAGCTTGCAAAGACAACCCGAAGAGGTTTTTGATGTGCTTGAAAAATTGGGCGAAGGGTACAGTAAATTTATATATATAGTTTAAAGTTCCCTATAAACAAGTCTGTCGAGAAATGTTTATATATGTTGTTAATTTTATACCGGATATTTAATACATATGAAAGTCCTCGCGTTCCTGAGGCTAAGCTACAGGAAAGAATAGTTGCATTTTATTTTTAACGATGTGCTTTTCTTTTTAAAAATGTCATGTGTTTTTAGTTAAGACTGTATTGTTTACATAGTAACTATTAATAGTTAGTTTTTATTAAATATGCGTTTAAGTTGCAAATTATTAAATTGTTTCAAAAAGTAAACTATTCTTGGTAATTTTTGAGAGAATTGCCCCCTTCGATTTACGCATTGCATTCTGTTAGATGCAATTTTATGATATTTGCAAAATACGATGTACATGTCTGATAAATTGTTCATTGCCAGCCGAACATATTCTTTGTTATCTTCTCCAAACATATTCTCCGGAGGCCGCAGGAGATCCGGAGGGTGCCACAAGGTTCACCACCAGTTAACTTTGTTTTGTACTTGAAATAATAATTCTGCTCTCCTTCGTCCATTCTAAGCTTTCAAACAAAGTTATTTTTCCTCAACCTGGTCTACTTGAGTAGGTGATTCATCATAATTTGGCTACATAGCTCGGTTGTGTTGCTACCTAATCAATATACATTACAGTTAATTTGGATGGCTTTAAGGCTCCCTAGATTGCTCCTCAAAGTATTTTATCAACACAGCCACATATTGGGGAGTTTTTAAGATGCTGACAATGAACAACGGGTATGGAGTATGGTTGAAAGCTTGTTTTTGCATTGCTTTAACAGAGGCAGACAAAATTTACATATCCCCAGAGCATACTTTTCACCGTAGCGACCTTGGCTACATCGTAAAATCACATTCTTGTGTGGTAAAACAGAATCAAGAACGTTGCAGGTTGGAGAGTATTTTTGTAAAGAAATGATGAAAATTAAAAGATGAAACTTACCAAACACAAAACCATGCACATAAAACATATTTGGGATAAATTCGTTATGACAAGCATGTAGTATTTGCAACGTAGTCGGTAGTTCGTCGTCAAGATCTTAAACGCCCTATTGTCATTGGGGGAGTGCATATATAGTTCTCATAAATGTCCAGACTGTAAAGTTTTGGCTTTGGAGGAAATTACATGTGTTAAATCTTAAATTTAATTCGGTTATTAATATCCTAAACCTAAGCCTTTGTGTGAACTAACTATTGCACCAAACATAATTCATTCCACAGTTCCTATGGCTCTGTATTCAAAGCCATGCACAAGGAATCCGGGCAGGTGGTTGCAATCAAACAAGTTCCAGTTGACACGGACCTTCAAGAGATCATTAAAGAAATTAGCATGATGCAACAATGTGATAGGTGAGATTAGAGTTCTGTTGTGATGACATATTGACATTTGTATGTTGAAGCTGTGAGAATGTGTTTAAAGTTGAGAATAATACTTCACTTCATTTTGTAGCCCTTATGTTGTCAAATATTATGGCAGTTACTTCAAGAATACTGACCTATGGGTATGTGTCTAGTGCAAGTACCCGCTACATTCTCTTGGCTTATAGCAAAAAGAATATACACAAGCCAGACCAGAATGTATTAGAATGAACAAGCTTTTGTTGGTAGGGATGTGTCTACCCGAAAAGGAGAATTTCGATTTTTTTGGGAAAGGCCCTTTGTCTGGAGTTACAATTATTATACCTTGACAAGTTACTGCAATACCTTGACAAGGCGTAAAAAAAACCCTGTGGTTTCGGTTCCCGACCAACCTTATTTTTTCTGCCGACCCTATTATTTTTTCAACGCGATTGACCGTGCAACCCTATTTTCTCTTGGTGGTTGCGGGCTGCT